CAGCCTCATTCCCTGGACAACACCCAATAGTGCCGTGTCATTCCTTTGCAGGTACAGTGCCCTCCGCTACCTGACCAGCCTCCAAACATCCACCTCTTGTGTCTACACCTGCACCTCAGGGCGTGGGCTTTTGGCATGCTCAGACAGGGCAGCCCCAACTTTGCCTCCTGGCTCTGCCGCCCCATAGTTAGTATCACCTTGTTGAGGTTACTTAACTCTGCTGAGACCAATTTCCTCGTGGGTAAAATGACACATACTGAATACACAGGGTTGCTGCGTTTCTAGTCCGTGTGCTTGAATAAATGCTTTCAGTAAATGGCAGTTTTTAAATGCGAGGTTATGTGTTTGGTGTTTGTTGATTAGTTTGTCTCCCAAGTGGGGCTGTGGGGCAGGGACTGTGGCTTACATGCAGCTCCCAGCACTGCAGCGTTTATTAGGCACCCAGGAATGTTTGTTGAAGCGGGGCCATAGGCCAGCCTTATCATTTTACAGATGAGGAGGAGCCTAACTGGTCTTAAGAAGCAGCAGCAGTCTTGCCTGTCTCTAGATGAAAGCCAGCATGCTTCCTTTGGGTGTCAGTCATTCCTTTGTGAAATACCGGCTGAGCACTTTCTGATATTCATTGCCAGGCCCTCCCCTAGGCACTGGGTGTGTACTAGTTACTTGGCTAGCAGAGGTTAACCAGTCACACAGATACAAAATCAGCACATTCACAAATGGCATGAGGGAAAGTAAAAGGTATAATGCATCCAGCAAAGATTTGTTGATTGCCTAGGGGCCAGGTATAGCACTGTGTACTGGGTATGCCAGTCTGGGTCTGGGGGCTGCGATGGTGACCTGGGAGTTCTCCTCTGGGAGGGTGACGGTTAAGCTGAGATCCGAAGGATGAGTGAGTAGGAGTTGGACAGATGAAGGTAGAAGCTGCAGTGCAAGGCCCTCCTCGTTCTAGTAGTATTACTGGCCAGGCTTCAGTGTCCGGCTTCGGTGTCCTCTGCGAACCTCTGCTTTCGTTGCTCTGACTAGTTTTCCTTCGAGCCTTATCATTACCTAGCTCATATTGTTTCAGTTGTTTCTGATTTCTTATGTGTTCCCAATAAAATAAACACTAAGTTCATTAATTTATTTCTTCCGCCCTGCCCTTCACAAGAAGTCTCCCTAATTTCCTTTCCCACCGTCTTTAGTAGATGCATGGCAGCCCATCGAGAGCCCCTTGGAGCTCAGCACTCCTTTATATGCCAAAGGCTTTCTCCTGCATGCAGATGTGCCTGCTTGACACCTCTCTGGGCAGGCATGTGGGGAGTTCACATGCCTGTCCCGCTCCCTGAAGCCCCCACCCAGTGACTGACAGGCGTTGGTAGATTAATACCCCAGCCCCCGTGCCCTCAGCTGGGACAGCTCTAGGGCAGGAGCTGTAGGGTCTCCTTGGAGTTCCCAGCAGATTTGAACTGTCCTTCGCCGTGGCGATAACCTGCTTATTAACATACCCCGCACTGGCTTCCTTCCCTTCCATATCTCTTCACTTTCCAGTTCTTCCTGGGATTACTTACCAAATCAACTGTTTGAATTCAGGTCTTCCAGCTCTGCTTCTGGGGATCCCAAACTTAGAGTGCTGTTTGGGGCTCTCGGTAAATCACACGATATAGCCTTTGTCCAAACCCTATTAAAACCTGGTGTGTTTTCAAACAGGTGAAAATTCCAAACAGCATTGAAAAGAAAAGGTCCTCACAAAAGGCAAAGGCACGGATTGAATGGAGAGAGGAGAAAAACAGTCAAGAAGGAGAAAGGAAGTTTGACTGTTGCGTGATCTCTTCCCTTACATTATCTAGTCTTCATAGGGAACGACTTTGCAAAATAAATCCCTTTATTCGAGTTCCCGCAGATGAGGAAACCAAGCCCGAGGCATTAAGTAACATGCCCAAGCTCTGTGAACCTGGGCACCAGAGGTGCGTTCCCGCATTCTTACACTCGGGGAGGCCAGCACCTGGTGTCCCGATGAGCCGACAGGCCATGGTGCAGTCTCAGCGTACTAGATTCAGAATAACTAAGTGTGTCCTCTTTTGCCAAATGAACTCCTGGAATCTGATCTACAGGGCAAGAGGCAACAGAGGTCAGGGAGTTAAGAAGAATTAATGGAAGGAAAACTTAGAAAACACTATCAGCTTTTTTCCAATCTGGGAGGCAGAGTGGGAGCCCTTTTTGAGAGCCTCCGTCCTTTGTCCATGCTGAGCTCAGAGGAGCCTTGTGGAGATGGAGGGTTGCTGCCACACAGAGAAGTTTCCGGGTCCTCTCCAGCTTGCCTCCCCAGGTCGTGGTCCAGGGTCAGCAGGGATGATCTGCTTTCATCTGTTTACCCCTCGTGTCAGGGCTACAGTGATTCATTTTGTCTTCCAGAGAGGGTGGGTAGGCGTTCATTGAGCAGCTGCGTATCTCCTCATTTTTCAGTAGAGGCCACTTCCTCCAGGAAGGCTTCCCTGATCACTGCTCTACCACCATACCCAGCACAGCACCATGAACCCTGTGGCAGCCCATTATGATACTTTACTGAAATTTCCTGTTTGTCTCTCAAACTCTTGAGCTGGCCATCCCTTATGCATCTTTGTAGAACAGACACCTGCATATACTACATGTTCAATAAATACACGCATAGACAAATGTATCAGACGTTGAGCTAGTTCATGGAAGTACAAAGATTATTTAAAAATAAAAATCATTTTTTTGCTCTCCAGAATTCAGGGTCCAGCAGGGGCAGGGGCTAAACAGATAAGTAAGTAAATAATAAAATTGTGGTTAAAAAAAAAGCGACTTGTTCTTGGTGATGTCATGGGAAGCCTTCCATAGGCATCAGGGCTTTAATAGCAACTTGATTTTAAATCAGTAGCAGTTGAGGGCAGGCACAGTGTGTACAGGGCTACTGAGATGTGGCACAGAACGACTCATTCTGAGAATTACAAGTAGTCCAAATGGCTGGAACATATCTACATAATGACCCGAGAAAAATGAGTGGGGCCCTGACATGAAAGCTTTGAATTTCATGCCTAGCAGTTTGGACTTCAGGCTACGTATTTGGGGGCACCACTGAAAGGTTCTAATTGACAGAAGGGATTGATTGTTTTAGAAAGATTGCCCAACAATACTAACCCGAGGCAGCTTTTCTCCATCAAGTTCTCTGCAGAACCTGGCATGGTGTACCTGTGCAGTAAATGCTGACACCTTTTAGATGGGGAGGGACGGTGTGTTAGTAATCAGGGATCTCCAGAGACGCCGAACAAGTAGGGGACGTAGGGAGTTTATTATGAGGAATCGGTTCATCCAGTTATGGAAGCTGAAAAGTCCCAATGTCCGCAGTCCAAAGGCCTGGGAACCAGGAGAGCAGATGGTTAAGTTCCAGTCCAGCTCTGAAGGCAGGAGGAGATCCATGTCCCAGCTCAAAGGCAGGGACAAAGCCTGTTCTCCCTTCATCAGCCTTTCATTCTCATCAACCTTGGATTGGATGAGACCCACTCACATTGGGGAAGGGAATCTGCATTTCTCAGTCGATGAACTCAAATGTTCATCTCATGCAGGAACCCCTCACAGACACACCCAGAATAGTGTTGAACTAAACCTCTGAGCACCCCTTGACCCAGTCAGGTTGACACGTGAAGTGAACCATCACTGAGGGGAGAGGATAGCACTAGGCTTGGTGTACAAGAGCAATTGGGGGCAGAGGGAGACTGGGAAGATGAGTTACTGAACTAATCTAAGCACTCAGCTGCTTTGCTTCGTACTCATTTCCTTCTTGGCCATTGTCCTGTTGTCCTGTTGTTGTAGGTTATTCTGTATGCTCACATGTAAGAATTCTATTTAGAAATTGCTTTTATAAGACAAAACTGACCTTAATATATCTACCTTTTTTTCCCTCCAGTTTTTTATTTTTAACACAGGAGCCCGAGCAGTGCTTTTAGAACTTTCTATGCTCAGAACACTCTAGTAGTTCCTCATGATGTTGAGCATCACAGCCAGAGTCCCCATCATCATGTAGAAAGTCCTGCATGATCCGGCCCCTCTCACTTCTCTACCTCATCATCCTCTGTCACCCCTCTCCTCGCTCTTCTTCTACACTGGACTTGCTGTTCCTCAAAACAGACATGCTGTTCCCTGTATCTAGAACACACCCTGGGTACTCACAGGGCTGGCTCCCTCACTTTGTTCGAGCCTTTGCTCAGTGATCACTATCTCGGTAAGACCTTCCTTGACCTCTTTGTTGAGTTTTTGAACACTGGCCCCTGTACTTCCTATCCTATCCTTTAGCCTGCTTAATTTTTCTGCATAGCAATAATCCAATTTTTACATATCATGTAATTATTTTTGTATGTGTGATTATTTCCTCCCACCAGAATGTAAGCTCCATGAAGCTAAAGTGCTTTGTCTGTCTTATTTCCTGGTCTCTCCCCAACACCTAAAGTGCTTCCTGGCACCATAGTAAGTGGAGAGGTACAGGAAAGCACCCTTTGGGTATTGCACTGGTAGGCCAGTTGACTTCTGAGTGCTTTCTGTAAATCTGAAAGGAGGAGGAGGAAACCTCATTTGCCTTTTAGATAAGGTTACTACTCCAAAAATCCACCACCAAATCCACTTCTGAGAGAAACAAGGCATTTCTCAGTGACCAGAGGCATCATACCGTAGACATAGTTGAACGCTCTCTGAAGGGGTGGGGACTTGGTGTGTACCACCGTTAATGTGGTCCTTGCCTAAGGTTGGCCGACAGGTGCTGAAGACAAAAACGGTATGAAAAAGTATTCTTGGTTTTGTCTTTTCTCCTTTGCTGAGAAAGTGTGGTGCTTACCCCTGGGTACAGAGACCATGAGTGAACAGAAAAACAACTGTGATGAGTAATTTGATTCATGATAAAGTCCCCTTTTAAGTTCAATATTGTGTACCCTTGACGACCATGAAAAGACTTGGTAGATTTGATTGGGTAAAAGAACGGTGATGAGAAAACACTTTTTTTCCCCTTAAAGGTGTTTCATGGGACTCACTTCCAGATGAGCTGCTCTTAGGGATCTTTTCCTGTCTGTGCCTCCCTGAACTCCTAAAGGTCTCCAGTGTTTGTAAGAGGTGGTATCACCTAGCGTAAGTATTTTTCACCCCTCTTGGTATATGTGTGGAAGAAGGGGAGAGTTATTTATTTATTCATTGGGGCCTAGTGAAACTAAAAACTAGGAAAAATGTAGGAGCAGAAAGCAAACTAGGTATCTTCGTATTTTTATTATTAGGGTGTTCATTTCACAGTGGAAGGGAGGAGTCTCCTGGAGGTGTAACCTTACCCACCTCAGAAAACTTCTTTCTGTATTCATGCGCTCATTGGATGCTGACTGCATCTGATGCACTAGAAGTGAAGGGGGCTACGGGGGGCTGCATGAGGGCCTGGGCGCTGAGTGCAATAGGGGGAGCGGTATTCGACCTCATTGTGAACCCCGTCTCTGCCACTTAGCACTCTGTGACCGGGAGACATACTTGACACTTCTGAGCCTCGGTCCCCCCCCCCCCCACATATACAACGGAGATCACAGTACGTTCCAGACAGGGCAGTGATGAGGATGAAATCTGAAGATGCCGGTGCAGTGTCTGGCTCGTGGAAGCAGGCGGCACATGGCTGCCAATAGTGATTGATACCTTTGTTGGTTCGGAGGCACACCTTCAGGTTTGCACAGTGAGCTGCGCATGGCAAGTCCTGGTGCGCTGGGGGCAGTAACGGGCCAGGTGCGGGGAGGCTTTGTTTTTCAGTTGGAACTTTTTCCATCAATTCCACTTGTCATCTCCAGCCAATCACTAGCCATCCTTTGCGCTTGAAGGCCATCTGTGTCTCGCCTCCCTCCACATATCTAGGGCTCTCACTGGGAGATGGCAAGAGCCCCTTCCCCGCCATTCAGGGCTGTGTGGGCAGTAAGACACGGCAAGCATTTCTAGGAGTGGGCTCCTGGCTTAGAAGAGCCCCAGGGGGCGGGAGTGTGCACCCGGAATGCTGGAGCGAGTGGTGGTGGAGTTGCACAGATCCCTCCCGGGTGACCCCATAGTGATTTTCTTTGTCAGCCAGCTGACCTCTTCATGCAGAGTCTATGAATCCTCACCTCACTGTCATACAAGTAATAGCCGGCATCTGTGAAGCACTGCCTTCTTAATAATAGAGGTCACGTAACGCCTTGACAATTTCATTACACAGAATTATTCCAGAGCCCAGCCAGTGGTCTGCTTATTTCAAGCAGTATTAAAAAATGCGATTCTAGTAGGCATTTAAAATGTTCCCTCCTGTGCTTGATCTCATACTTTCTTTTTTTGTTGTTGTTAAATTGAATTAATCTGTGGCTGTTAAAGCTCCCTTATTGTACTGTTTAGTACATTTTGGTACTTCGTACTTCATTTTTGCTTTAGAAACAGTATCCAAAATCTAAGTAATGTTTTTCCTTTCACATTAGTTCATACATATACATATATTTCTGTCCACGCATACTTTTTTTTTTTAAGCTTAAAGGGTATCATAAAACACCCAAACTCCTTTGTAGGGTTCCTTATTTCTCGTAGATATTTGATAGTCATATCTCTTAAGAATGTAGTTGACCCTTAAACAACATGGGGTTAAGGAGGACTGATCCCCCTGCCCAGTCAAAAATCCACATAGCACTTTCAACTCCCCACTTAACTACTAATAGACTGTTGTTGACCGGAAGCCTTACCCATAGCATAAACAGTCAATATCTTTTAAGTTATATGTATTATATACTCTTACTCTTATAATGAAGCTAGAGAGAAGAAAATGTTATTAACAAAATCATAAGGAAGAAAAAATACATTTATGGTACTGTAAAAAAATCTGCATGTAAGTGAACCTGCTCAGTTCAAGCCCATCTGCAAAGATCAGCCGTAGCACTAACTTTCCTCCTTTTAGTTGTATTTCCATGTTACTTAGGGTAATTGTGGTAACTCCTGTACGCTTTACCAAAACAGCAACTGGGATCGTTGAGGCCATTTTGAACCTACCTACCTATTCATTAATTAGTTAAATGCTTGGAGCAATCGTTTTTAAAATTATCAAATTGTATTGAACACTAAAATTTTATTCTCTAGTTCCAGATCGTTATATTGCTAATGATAGCATTGAACCATATGAAGGAAATACATACAGATGTGTGTGTGTGTGTACAGCTGAAGGTGGAAACTTATCCATGATGAGCAAGAAATACTCGATTGTGTCTTAAAAGTAATACTGTAGCGGGCACCTGGGTGGCTCAGTCATTAAGTGTCTGCCTTCGGCTCAGGTCATGGTCCCAGGGTCCTGGGATCGAGTCCCACATCAGGCTCCCTGCTCAGCGGGAAGCCTGCTTCTCCCTCTCCCACTCCCCCTGCTTGTGTTCCTGCTCTCGCTGTCTCTCTCTGTCAAATAAATAAATAAAATCTTAAAAAATAATAATAATAATACTGTAGCTAGTTGTACAGTCAGCTCAAAACCAAAGCTTCCTTTAGAATCTGCTCCAAGGTGATTCAGTGGCGAAAGCTTCCTTGTTGAGTAGCAGTGGTGGGGCCCTCCGGTATCCAGTACCCCCATCTTACTAACTACCCCCTCTTTTCCAGGTTTGACGAGTCTCTGTGGCAGACGTTAGACCTCACAGGTAGAAACCTGCACCCAGACGTGACTGGTCGGTTGCTGTCTCGAGGGGTGGTTGCCTTCCGCTGCCCACGATCATTTATGGATCAACCATTGGTTGAACATTTCAGGTAAAAAAGAAGAATCCCCAGAAAAGGCTGTTTCTAAGTCTTAAGGTGGAAACAGATGAAAACTTTTTTTTTCCTTTCCTGTAACCAGCCTTACGGCCTGTGACAAGTGTGGGCAATGGAATGCTAATTGCATTTTGCTGTGCGGTCTTTGTGTTGAAACATGTCACAGGTTTCAGTGATGCCATTCCCACTTTAAGTCAGGGTTACTCTTGGGCTCTTCCAGGGGGTCAGGGATGCACCTTTTGCTTTCAAGTGGGGTCCTCAGAGGATGGGCCTCATGGGTCCCAAGGGGCAGAAGCCATGTGGAGCACTCACTACCAGATGCAAGGCAGCCTCGCTCTTGCCACACTGCCCATTTCTGATGAAGACGAAGTGTGAGGAGTCTTCTCAGATTTTGAAGCTGTGGGTATCTGATCCTGTGGTGGACAAATTTGCAACCTGAGCAAAAATGCCCTCTTTTTGTTCGTTTTGTGGAAGATTTTGAAAGACTATTTCCCTGTTACTGATAGTTTTGCAGTATGGTTTAGAGCCATCTCAAACTTGAGTGGAATAACTAGGTACTGAACAGAAAAATAAGCTAAGGCCAGCAGAGTTCAGGACAAAACCTACATCCCCACTCTGATACTTTCCGCTTCCCTCCATGGCCATACGGCAGCATCCCTCCTCCCCTGGTGGTTATCCTTTTCCCGGGCCTGTTCCTTCTGGGTCCCCTTCGCGTGTGCGCTTTCCTCTGCTACTCTGGGTTCTGTCCCTGGTCCCTGGCTGCCTTCTCTTGATCCACACACTGTCCTTGGACACACTGTCTTAGACACCCACAGTTGTGCTGGAACTTTCAGATTCTCTTCTCTGGTTCAGCCCTCTCTTTCAAACAAACTCCTAGGCCCAGTTAGAAACTTCCACACCTGCGTTTCCTCCCGGTAGCTCAATATTAGCCCTTTACAGCTTGCTCTTCCACTGTCTTTTCTGTTTTAGTAATTTACTCACTCACCTTTATCAGGAAGATTCGTAGGCATAATCTTCTTGTCACCCAGCTTCAACTCATTCTCATGATGCCCATGAATTAATTTCCTAAGTGGGACTATATCGACAGCATCATCTTGACTTGGCAGAAACCCTCCTGAATTTAATGAATTTATTTTTTTGAAGACTGTTTATTTGAGAGAGCACGCACACGTGAGAAAGCATGGGGGGAGGGGCAGAGGGAGAGGAAGAACCAGACCCCCCACGGAGCCGGGAGCCCGAGGAGCTCAATCCCAGGACTCTGGGATCATGACCTGAGCCTAAGGCAGACTCAACCAACTGAGCCACCCGGGCACTCCCTAAAATCCTAAATTTTAAAATGAATGAGGGGAGGGAGTTATCTAGTAGCAATTTATTTTAAGACCAAAACTGTACTACTTGAAATGTATATTTAGGGTCATGTTTGTGATTGGCTGCTCATCTGGGGAGGAGATGGGGTTGGATTTGATCTGGAGGTACACGTGTGAGCCACCTTAATGGAGCCTCTCTTTCCCCTCCTCTGTGTTCAGCCCTTTCCGCGTGCAGCACATGGATCTGTCCAACTCTGTTATCGATGTGTCTACCCTCCATGGAATTCTGTCACAGTGCTCCAAGTTGCAGAACCTAAGCCTGGAAGGCCTGCAGCTGTCGGATCCCATTGTCAAGTGAGTGGCAGTCAGGAGCATGTGACAAACGCCATTGTTTTTGTGTGTGTTAACTTTGTTCCCTGAACATAATTGGGTACCCTTCTGTCCATATCCAGATGGACTCAGAAAATATCCATGGGGTGCCCCAGCTTCTGCAGTACTTTGCAGGACTCATTCAGGCAACCCAAGTTTGCATGCTACCTATATGCATATGCCAGGTTCTAGACATACAGGGATGATGAATAAAGCCATGGTCCCTGCCTCATTCATGGGAGAGACAGATAATTATAGTGCACTGTGTTTGTTATATGTGGCGTCACCCAGAGAGACCTAATTAAATTGAGGGAGGGCAGCCTTCTTAGAGGAAGTGACTCTTATGTGGAATATTGAAAGTATTCAGCTTGGAGAGCTCCACGTGGTGAGGTAAAGAAGCCAGCGAGGTAAAGCTGCCTGTGTGGTTCTAAACGCTGTAGCAGGTGGGAACTCTTAGGGCACAGAGTGCACTGAGGAGATGCCAGGAGGGGAGGAACAGCTCGTAATGGGCCCCTGCCATGCTGTAAGAAGTCCGGACTCCACGGTGGGCTCAGAAGAGGGAAGCGTGCTAAAGAGTGTGGTCCTGAGAATGGAGGGAACATGCAGAGTTGAAATTTAGAAATAAAATCTGCTGGTCACCTTGGAGTGTTAACCAGATGCGGAAAAACCTGGACTAGTTAAGATGCTGTTGTGTTCATTCAGGTGAGAAATGATGAAACCTGATGTAAAAAAAAAACAGCATCATCATAATTATAATAAGTACCAGCGTTTATTGAGCACTTCCTATGTGCCATATACTCAGTTCTTCAACGGTCACCCAAGACGTAAGTTCTGATTGTTCCCCTTTCTGCAGATATGGAAACTGAGGCACAGAGAGGCTGAATAACTTGTCCAAGGTCACACAGCTTGTAGGTGGCAGAACCAGGATTGGAACTTGACAATAGAATATGATTCCAGAACTCTCGCTCTTAATCATGGAGTTCCACCACCACAGGCATTTGGGAATGTAGAGAGGTCAAATTTGAGAGATGTTTAATTGGAAGAAGCTGGAGACTCAACAAGGAGAAGTAGGCCTACAAGCTGATTCTAATTATGGGTGAAATAGAAATAATATTTTATTCAAGCACTCTCTTTTCAATTTAAAACTTACATTCTTGATGTTTCTTATGCGCTTACATAGTGCCAGGCACTGTGCTGAGCCCTTTATCACATTATATAATTTAATCGTAACAACCGTACCAAGAAGGTACTGACTCTGCAATTTCACAGATGAATAAACTGAGGCAAAGCATCCTGCTTGGTGTCATACAGAAAGTGAGACATGAACTGAAACTCATTTCTGGCTCGAAGGCCTGCCTGCTTATCTACTGACTTCTCTAGCCTGCTTTCCTCAGAATGCTTATTAATTGAGTAACAGTGTCTTATTGGTATTCCTCTGACATTTTCCTCTCTTTCCAGTAATCTTGCGCAAAACTCAAATTTAGTGCGACTGAATCTTTCTGGGTGTTCTGGATTCTCCGAATCTGCCCTGAAGACCTTGCTGAGCAGCTGTTCCAGGTTTGAAAGATTTGAGACTTAATTATAGAACTGTTTTTGCAAATATACAATTATCCCCCACACGAGCGAGGAATTGGATCATTTCTTGAGCTATTCCTAACTCTGAGCTCTTGATGATACGCAGTATCCTTTACCCTCTAAACTTTCTGTTCAAACTAAGGAGCCAGATCAGTTAGGTTTGCAAAGGACTTGTATAGTAATCCTCCCCCTTTTTTTTTTTTTTACTATGAGAGAAAGAAAAATTTGGTAATGTGTTTATCGAAATTAATCTGTTTATACCTGACTTTATACCTGGCTTTTTTCCTGTAGTATCTGTAGACCTAACTTATGCAGATATCATAAATTTGGGTGACTCCATTAAAAACATCTTTATATCATGTAATAATGTCAGTATGTAAATAAAGGCTACAGTTACAGATTTATTAAGTAAGGAGGACGTGGCTCACAGAAGACTGTGTGTGTGTGTGTGTGTGTGTGTGTGTGTGTGTGTCCTTTTTAATATCCCTTGATCTTTCTGCTCTAGCATTCTACCTGTATCTCTAATGTTTTGCTCAAAGTAGATTGCCTTTGGATAAGAGTGTTATCCGTGAGGTAAAAATGTAAAACCCTACATGTATTCAGCAATGTCAGGAATGGGGTGTGTGGCTTAATCATTGGATATTGTCTTTGAATTCATTTGCTCAGTCAGCAGAACCAGATAAGATGAAGTGGCCTTTTGCAACATCAGCGTCTCTTTATTGAGAATCCCCGGTATAACCCATCGAATTTTTAAAGCCTCTCGAGTGATTGTTCAGTCTCTGTGGTTGTTTACTGACAACCTGGGTGGTTGAGAGAGAAAACAAGAGGCTAGAACTGTTCCATCTAGTCCCGCAATGAGGTTTGAGCCATCAGGAGGAGAGGAGAGTGTTCCCTCCATTTCCAGAAGGGGGCATCACTCGCTAAGACTTGGCATCCCCTGGATCTCGGATCTCGGATCCCCTGGCAACTTTCTAGGGCACACCAGGGCGGGGGAATTTGTGTCAGGAGGGGAAAAGGCCGTTTCAGGTGAGCAGAGGTAGCTGCTTAGAGAAGCAGAGGTTCTATGCGTGAAATGGTAAGGAATCTGTGGCTTTGGGTTTTCTTTGCAGCTTTGAGACCATGCTTCTAGAGCTTGTTCCTGTGTCCTGGTTTCATGCTTTCCTTATTTCTCTGGTGTGCAGATTGGATGAGTTGAACCTGTCCTGGTGTTACGACTTCACCGAAAAGCACGTGCAGGTGGCTGTCGCGCATGTGTCCGAGACCATCACCCAGCTCAATCTCAGCGGCTATCGAAAGAATCTGCAGAGATCAGGTAAGCCCCTCCGGGCCCTGGACCCTTCCCGGCAACCATGGCATTAGTAGGTTTGATTTCTTGAAGAGCTCCTAAGAACTCTTGAAGAGCAGCATTTGTCACATGTAATCCAGCGCACCTGTTCTTAGTCCCATTTTTCAGGTGAGGTCACAGCTGATCGGAAAGGGTAGGTAAAGGCAAACAGCTGGTGGGGTATAGCATCGAGATCAGAATCCAAAATCTCGAAGTGGAAACCTTTATACTTGACACCAGTTTATTTCTAAGCAGAACTTCTCTTAATCCACTAAACTAGTAGGTAAGACCTGCAACAGAAAATAGATGAGTGCCACATTGGTCGGTATTAAGCAGTGGTTCTCAACCAGGGGCAGTTTGCCCACCAGGGGGGGACATTTGAGGAGGTCTGGAGACATTTCTGATTGCCACAGCCACGGGGGTGTTCCTGGCAGCTGGTGGGCAGAAGCCGGGAATGCTGGTAAGCAGCGTGCCCAGGACAGCAGAATAACACAAAAAGATAATGTGATCCAAAATGTCAGTAATGCCAAGGTTGAAACCCTGTTATAAACTCTGTTTATAGGTTTATATTTACAACTCTTTTTAATTCAACGTAAGAGGACGATGAGGTTGTCTAGTTGAACACGGGCATTTGAAGTGAGGGGTAATGTGTGAACGTTAACAGTCTTTATGAGCCTCGACGTTCAGTCATGCTTTGATTTAATTGTCTAGTATTGGCGGGATCCTGATCGGCAGAGAGAAGTGTTTGCAAATGGCAGGGGTTTTTTTTAATGGCTTCCCCTCTCGATCCCAGGCCGTGGGCTACACAGAGCCTCGCTGAGCTAGCAGCACACTTCCGCCGTATCTTCACAGCTTGATGTTGGCTCATGAAAGTGCTTTGTTTTTATAGTTTTTATGATACTTTAAAAGATTTGAATCAAATATTTGCAGAGTGTGTCTTCTTAGAATTTAAGTAGTAGCTGAAAACTGCTTCTCCAGAACAAGATGTGCCTCTGCCAAGTAAAGCGTATCAGGCTATTGAGAAGAGGAGCTGGGTTCTTGGGGGCGTCCAGGCGGTTGGGGCCTTTGACTGTGCTCGAGTCCGGATGCCTGCATCTTCAGACAGGAATTTTTTTTTTCAACAGCCGTGACAGCAACAGTGTGTCTCTCTTCTCGCTCTCCTATACGCACAATATTTGTGTTCTGCGTTTTTTTCCCCTTTAAACACTTTGAAATCTGATGACAGTATTATATAGTCATTCTCAAAAATACATAAAATATGGAAAAATACCAAGAAAAACAAAACAGCAGTAATCCCACTAACCTCTTGCTGGTCTTTTTCCTGCATAAAAGTGTTTTTTAAAGTGGGACATAGTGCATGAAATACTTTGTAGTATGCTTCCCCCCCGCCGCCCCGATAATCCCATTTTTAGTAGCTACACCACATCATTTTCAGTGGCTATGTGTTATTCCATGAAATAGATATGGAATAATTTGTATGGATTCAATAATAATTTTTTTCACTTGATCTTGTAATGGTCTTTTAGAGTCTTTCTAGTTTTTTTCCTTTTGTAAACAACCTTGTCATGGACAGAGACAAATCTTGAGTGCATTTCTCTGTAGATTCTTAAAAGTGGAATTGCCAAGTCAAGGATTAGGCTCTGTTCTTAAGCTTTGGGTCGTTCTTACCAAATGGCCTTCCAGGGATTTTCAGCTCCCACCAGCGAGCAGCCTCTTCACATTGAATCCCACCACTGGTTCTTCCCTGTTCATCCCCAAGCCGAGAAAAGGCAGTGCCTCATTGACATTTCCTTCCCATATCTGAATTTCCCATTTCTTTATTGAGAGTTTTTCTGAATGAAAGGTGCAAGGTTGAGAAACTCTGCTGTAGGCAAGCTGCTGTTAATCTGTCCAAGTTTGGCTTAAAACTCTTCTCTTTGTTCCTCCAGAAGAGAATAGAGAGCCTGTTTACCAAGCTCTGGCAAGAATAACAGGTAATCAAATCCTGCTTACTGGACACATTCAGGGCAAGGACTAAGATCTGGAGTTTAAGTTGGAGTGTGTGTATTCTTAGTTATACAGTGGGAATCAGAGATTTTTTTAATATCTTTAACAGTGGCACCCACTTCTTCACTATTTAGAAGATAATACTAAGGTCCTTTTAGCTCCTAGACTGGTGCCAGTCCACCCGGTTCAAGTTCCTGTTCTGCTGTTTACTGGGTAGTCTTGAGCAAGTTGCTATACTTCCCTGTTCCTCAGTTTCCTCATCAGTAAAATGGAGATAGGAGTGGAAGCCATCTCTTAGAGTGGTAGTAGGGAGTAAGTGGGTGAATCCCATGGAGCGCGTTAACCCTAGTGAGTGTGCAGTGATCGTCCCAGTTATTTTTGCCAGCCCCATGGGGCAGTCGGGAAGCACAGTCCGGCGTCCTGGAGGACCAGCTCTTGGTCTTGGATTTGACATCGCGTCCCTCCTTAAAATGACAGGTTAGATTTGGGGGTTTGTAAGATGCCTTGTGTCCTAGGTAGATCTCCAGCTCGTGGCAAAATGAAGGGGACAGTGTGTAGAGGGACTCTTAGCAGTGACTACTGTTTACTAACCCTTTCCACTGAGGGATGCCAGGGCTCAAATGAGGGCTGGAGACTAACCAGTTCTACCCCCCAAGGTTTTGTTCTTTCCTAGGTGGCATCAAAATGAGATTGGATCTAACTGGGGATTTGGGAGATGGCTGGTGGGCTGGCTAGGTGATGGGTTGCTCAAAATTGTACTGTCCACTTCTTCATTTTTTAGTCACTCATTAAACCAGTGTTTATTGAGCACCTACGATGCACAAAGCCCTGTTCCTGACTTGGGAGCTGTGGCCTTGAATAAAACCAATGAAGTCACCGCTGTGCAGCTTACACTCTGGGGGCAGGGATCCAGGCAACCCACAAATAACTAAATGTGATGAAAGGAGGTGAAATGCAGGGAGGAAAAATGGAGCAGAGAGACCAGGCAGAGTATTGGCCAGAGGGGGGCTGTTTTCAGATGGAATGGCCAAAGAGAAGGCCTCTCCCTGAAAGTGACACCTGAGCAGAGGCCTGACTGAGTGAAGGTGTGAGCTGTATAGATAAGTGAGGAAAGAACGCTCTGGAACTGGGACCAGCAAGTGCAAAGACCTTGACATGGGAGCCAGTGTGAGAGGGAGCAAGGAGCACGTAGTAGGAGGTAGGACAGCCCAGGATTCTCTGAGCCAAGGCAGAAGCTTTGTTCGGATTTTCTCTGAGTGAGGTGAGAAGCCACGACAGCATTTTGAGCAGGAAATGATAGGATCTGACTCCCCTTTGAAAGTCGAGTGCTGTGTTGAGAAAAGGCTGTAAGAGACTCGGGGGGTGACATGGGACATGGTAAGAAATGATCGGACATTACAAGCCAACAGACTGGGTGTGGGATGTGAGAGAACAGTCGAGTGTGCCTCCCAGGGTTTTGGCCTGAGCAGCTGGATCGGTGACGTTAGCACTTTCTTGGAGACAGGGAAGAACCAGATTTAGAAGAGAAATGAAATATTTGTTTTTAGGCATGAATTTGAGATGCCTGTCTCACATCACAGTGGATGTGTTGAGGAGACAGTTTAAAATGCAAGCCTAGGATCCAGGGGAGGGAATGGGGCTGAAGACAGAACTGTGGGAAGAAAAAAACCCCAACTATGAATGAAGCTTGTTTATTTTTAAAAATAAATAACATTTATTGATTGATTTTCTTTTTTTTTTTTTTTTAAGGGGGGGGGGGGGGGGGTCCTTGACCTCACGACCCTGAGGTCGTGACCTGAGCTGAAATCAAGAGTCTGACACTTAACCAACTGAGCCACCCAGGAGCCCCTATTGATTCATTTTCTGAATACAAAGTAGCACATGTGACTCTTCCAAATTCTGAAAAGTTACCTGTAATCCTACCACCCTTGGGTGTATTTCCTTCCAGCCTTCCCCTCCTACCCCCAACCCTATGAACCTTTTTTTCTCTGTGAGTTTGTATATAAATAAAGAGTTTTTGAGTGTATTTTTACTAAATTGAGATTATAGGGCGTTGTATATATTTTGTTTTCTCTATACAATATATCGAGTACTTTTTCATGTCATGAAATGTTATTTAAAAGCTTTAGAGTACTGTCATTGGTATTGTGTTCCACAGAATGGAGGGAGGTTAACGAATTGAAATAATTGGGGAAGGGACTATTATAACTTGCTAAAATGAGTATCTTCATGCACACCTTGTTTTTCTAAAAGTGGAATTACTGAGTCAGAGTCAAGTGTAAAATGTTCAGAACACATCAAAAAATCAGTTCACCCCCCCCAAAAAATTCAGTTTGCTCCCCTGAAAGGCTACAAAAAATTAAATATGCATTTGTAGTATATATGGGACATGCTTTATTATATTTCATCAATTCTGGATATTATGATAGAATTTTTTTTCATTTGATAGCTGCAAAGCAATATTTTAATTTTATTTTGCCTTTCTTGCTCCATACTGTTTGGCCAAGTATCGCTTCATATTCTTTGCCCATTTTCTACATTTATCTTTCTTTACTCTTCATATAAGACCATTAACTCTGTTTAACGTATGTTGGAAACATTCCCAGTTTTCTGATACATCTTGAATTTTATGTTTTGTTTTGCTTTAACATGGTAGACTTAAAATTTTTATGTAGTAAATTATCAGTGTTTTTTTTGTGTTTTCCTTTATGTTTAGAAAATCCTTACTTATCCAAGATCCAATGAATAATTACCCTATTTTTTTGCATTTTAGGACTTTATAATATACGTGGAATTTATTTGGAGATGTTATTTGAGTGGGAGAAACAAGTTTCTTTCTGCTTGTAGTAGCAATGCCATTTTTTAAAATAATCCGTGATTTCCCCCACTGATTTTAAGTGCTACCTTTATAATACAATATTTGTGTATAGATGATGGTGTTTGGTTTTGCATTTTGCTAGTGTGAGGAGGATTTTTTTTTTCTTTTTTCCCCAGCTAGGTATTGCAGATACATAGATAAGCTATGGATTGTTATTAACTTATCATATTACACAGTTCTTTTACTATTTCCAGTGGATTCTCTTGGATTTTCTGGGTTCAAAATTTTATATGCCAAGGTGATGATTTTGTGTTTTATTTCTAATAGTGTGACTCTAATTGCATTCATTGTTCCAAAAGCTTCTAGCACAAAGTTAAATGATGGCATTGATAGCAGATATCCTTGTCTTGTTCTTCATTTAATAGTGACCATCATTTTTTTCCTAGATGTCTCTACTTTAGTTGGAAGATGCCCCAATCTTGTCCACCTAGACTTAAGGTATTTTTTTTCGTTTATTTATTTTAAAACAAAAATTGAAAAATCATGACTGCTCATTGAAGGAGGAAAGCATCTTAACATGTTGAATTGAAGGAACCAAGCGGTTGGTTATTTCTGTTTTCTCCATCTGAACTGATGCATAGGTTTTGAATCTTCTCTTCTGCTCTGTTCCAGCGATAGTGTCATGCTGAAGAATGACTGCTTTCCAGAATTTTACCAGCTCAACTACCTCCAACATCTCTCACTCAGTCGGTGCTATGATATAATACCTGAAACTTTACTGTAAGTATTTTCATTTTCTAAAAGTAGGAGAAGACAGGGAACAAAAGAGATGTCACTTGGTGTTAATATCTGTTATTATTAATAGGAGATGCTTAAAACTGGAACATCTGGAGGGGAGGTGGGTGGGGGGCTGGGGTCACTGGGTGACGGGCATTAAGGGGGGCACGTGATGTGATGAGCGCTGGGTGTTGTATGCAGCTGATGAACCACTGAACTCTACATTGAAGCTAATGATGTACTATATGTTGGCTAATTGAATTTAAATTAAAAAACAAAACTTGAACATCAATATTGGTGTACCATAAATAGGTTAGGGAAGTCCAGCAAAACAGAAAAACCAAGGTAAAAATTCTTTGCCTAAAATATCTTGGAAAGTTGACGGGGATAGTTTACTAAACATTTATTATTTAGCTAGAAGCATACCATACTCTAGTATCTGGAAGACTTGCAAAAGGAGAAGACCACTTTTACCTCTAGGGAGCTCAGAGTATAACTGGGGAGCAGACCCAATGGGGGCTTCCCCTCCTCCCCCACATTTTTCAGATCAACTCCAGTTGATTCTGAAGGGCTCCCTCTGGGCTGAGAGGAAAGTTCTGTAATCTTCTAGAGATGTCTGTCTAGGATGGTGGTCAAAGAATGGGAAGAATGGCATCATGTGAAAGGTAAATGTCACGAGTCCAGTGCTATCTTGGAATGGGGGAGACTGAAGTCCAAAAGAGTGAAGTGACTTAATCTGAAGCTATAAAGGAAGTTAATGGCTGAGCTAGGTCTGCATCCTAGGTTTTCTGGACAGATGAAAATAGTCTGTAGCTAATCCAATAGCTCTTATGAGGGTTAATTTTGTACCTGCTCAGCAACTTTCACAAAATCAAGGGAGTGCAAAAAGGAGTCTGGTCTTTCTTTTAGAAGGTGCTATTCCCAAGTCATCCTAGGAATAACATTGTCTATTTATTTTCCTTTCTTTTATCCCCAACGGGCTGGAAAATCCTTCCTCATGTAGGATGTAAATGTATAGCAGTTTTATTGAAAACCACAAGAAGCCAGTATCTTGACTTTGGCCAGGCGCCCTTCTTATTCCAGCCAGTATGCCCTGATTGAGGCGCTGCCTTCTTGTAGCCCACTCCCCAAATGAAGGGGATTTAGCTTCTGGTTCCTACCAAAGAAGGGTGGTGAATTTGAACAAGGAATTTATGTAGTCCTTGAATGATTGGTTTGGATCTTCTAAGTTAGTTTCAAGAACTAATAAATCAGATACGTAAGCTATACAGGGTTAACTAGTAGAATTAGAGATAGAGAATCCAGTAATACCATTTTTAATTAATCACTTTAATTAATCTTGGGGCTCAGGGGCTCAGCCGGTATCTCGTTTGAAAAAGCACTGCCTAAAAGGGACACCAGTCTTTATTTCCATGGCTCTTAGACGGTAGGGTGTGAACGCATATACATGGAACCCTCATTAAAATCTTGTGCCCTCTAGTATCCAGAACTCCTAGGGGCCTCTAGCGTCCGCCCAGAAAGGCGTCTCTGTCATCCATCTTTCCTGTCCTTGCCATCTGGGCTTCACTGCCTGTCAGCCCCTGGGGACTACAGTGATCAATCTTTTTCAGTCTTTTTTGGTTGCTTTTCTCAAGAGAATCTGTCCCCATGTCTCACTTCTGTTCTTTCCCTCCAGAGAAAGAAGCTAAGCAGGTAATCCCCAAATGTTTTTTCTTGAGCAGAGGCTAGGGGAAGGCTGTGAGCTCTCACGGTTTTAATATTTTTACTCAGTAGGATAGTGACACTTGTGGAGTCCTATCTGCAGGCAATGTGAGTTGGTGGTGGACCTCAAGTCACCTACATTTGAACCCTCACTGCCTTGGTGTGACTTGTCTAAACCTTATCTTGAAATAAGAGAAACATGGGCATCAGGAGTTTAGTGACAAATCAGACCACCAAAAAAGAATGCAAACAGAGAGAAAAAAGATGCTCTCCTTGTACTTTAATGTAAAAGAGTATGTTTCTTCAGGCATTATGTAAATAGTACACTAGTTAACCTCATGAACCCATGAAGATGAGTTTGCCTACACCCCATCCTTAGAAGTTTCATAAGATAAAGTGTTATTTTCTCTAACTCCATTCTGGCAGCTGATGTACTCGAAATTCATAGTAAGAATTCTAGGATCCTCAATAGTAATTTTGAGAAAGCCATTTGTGCTAAAGAATTTTTATTTCTCAGAAGTGGGAAAATAAAATTTGAGCGACTTTCTTCTGTAATACTAGTGCTTTAGAATACTTGGGAAACTCCAGGTTTTTCTTCTACAGGATATGTCCGCATTGTATCTGTTTCCTTTGGCCTGAATTGATCTTATTCCCTATGTCCAAACTTTCTTCTGATTATTCTGTATCTCTCGTTCAAGTAAGAAAGCCACACTGGAGATAATAAACTGATCTGAGATTAGGAGAGACTAAATAAAAAGTCTGTGGTAGGAGAATTTGTAGTTAGGCATCTACAAGATTTTATAAGGAAAACAGGATTGTGTAGTTGAGGTAAGGTGTGAACCTGTGAAAGGGTCTATAAATATCTTTTGTTGACTCAGATGAAATAAAGATACGCAAGACATTATCAGTGTCCTTTTATACTTCTTAAATTGGAAATAGTGGCTCTTCAACTATTCATTGCTATTTATTGTCCTTTGGTTGCTCTTCATTCTAAAGAGATGCTTATAAATTTGTTCTGTTGTGTTGTAGATGACACATGTACTAAGGGGCTTTCAGTGTTTTTTTTGTTTTGTCTCCTTAAAATTTTAAAGGACTTTCTGGCTTTTTGACTTGGATCGCCCACCATCCCATGGTATGCAGCTCACTCCTTTCTCACCTAGGACACCTCAGTGTCTTCTGAGAGTGTTGCTGTCATTTCCTTATGCCCACCAAGACTCCTTCCCAGCGCTGTTGTGAGAACATTTCTTCTGCTCTGTCTGCTCTACATCCTTTCCTCACTCCCACCTACAGCGTCTGCTTCTAATACTGTCTGACACTGTCCACCGTAGAATGACTTACGGTCTGGCTGATTCACATATCCCAGCACCCAGATTCTCATTACAAAGTTCTCAAATACTCAGATTTCACAGAAGAGGGATTTAAGGTTGGGGCAGAATTGCTGTCATCGTAAGTGATATTGAATATAAACACCTACGTGCTGCAGCCTTTCTCTGCACTCCTGTTTCTGTATTCCAGAGCTTAGTTTACTTTAAGAAGAATAGTACTTTGTTCTTCCTGATTTTCTTTTTTTGTCTGTTGTAACCTCCAGATCTTATTGTCCTTTTATGAACACCAAGCGTATTTATTTTACTTAGATAGTACTTTTATTTTCTGTTACCCTTCATCTTTATTCAGCTAACATGTATTAAACATCTGTGGTGCTTAATACACTTGCTGAGTGTGGAATAAATACATTTAGGGGGTAGTGGGGTGACTGGGAGAGTGGGTTGAACGTGGAAAGTCCTAAGGCCAACAGAACAGTTTGAGTTCCATAAACACGAGGGCAGCATCAAAGGCTTGTGGGGGGAGAGGGGGTGGAGGGGTGACATAAGCCGAGCTAGGCTTTAGGAAGATGCCTTGGACATTGGTATATAGAATAGGCTGGAAGGAAGAAAGATTGGAGGCCAGATAACAGTTACTATGAGGAAAGTTTGGGGTTTTTTTTTTAGTAATTATTGGCAATATGAAAATATAAAGGATGCTTCTAACGCTAGGTCTTTGATGTGTTCATTGATCTGCAGTGGGATTTTGTTGATATTCCAAACTAAATATTCCCTTTCCTAAGACTTTGTACTGTTTGTCCCAACCTGGAGCAAATACAGATCAGAGAGATGAATTTCTAAGCACACAGATCTGAGTAAAAGAAGAAAGAATCATTACCTAAAAGTATTTACTTTGGGTAAACAGGCTCCCTTTTTTGTGGACCAGAATGTCACTGTTGACAGAGTCGTATTTCACTTAATGGGAAATAGCTGAGAAGAGGATTGGCATATACGTGACCCAAAAAGAAAAAAAAAAAAGTAATATGTAGAGAAGTCAGATGGCTTTTACCTCATATAAAAGGTGTGACCAATTACTCCTTTTCTCCATCTGTACCCAGCTACATAGCCCTATCTAAAGTACCTTAGCAAAGTTGCTATTAGGTTTTATCACAGGTAATGGACTTACTAAGAAGTTACCTTAACTTCTGCTGCTCATCTTTTGAGAGGAGGAGACTAGTTCAAACAAAGGTCAAGTCTGTGCTTTGAAATTACATGTAACCTGTGATGATTCTTTACCATCACTAGCTTCTAGCTTCTCATCACATGGTAACTCCTCTCAATTTAAATCAAGAATGGAGAAGGGAAACAACTATGGTTGGATTTTAAATAAACCTCAGGAGTGTTTAGGTGGTGAGAAAACATTTAACAAAATGTGCCTGCGTGGGTCCTAAGGCCGTGTTGTCCGAGCTGTGGTCTGTGCTTTCTGGTTTGACTCGCCTTTGCTATTTTCTCAGATCATTGATTGCAAATTCTGTTTTCAGTTTGCATTCTATAGACTAGGATACAAATGGTCAAAATTGGGTCATGTAACTCTAGTGGATCAGTCACCATAGATACTGCTACTCTGAAAGGTCTCTCTCCTTTCCAGTGAACTTGGAGAAATTCCCACACTAAAAACACTACAAGTTTTTGGAATCGTGCCAGACGGTACCCTTCAGCTGTTAAAAGAAGCCCTTCCTCATCTACAGATTAATAGCTCCCATTTCACCAGCATCGCCAGGCCGACCACGGGCAACAAAAAGAACCAGGAGATATGGGGCATCAGATGCCGGCTGACGCTGCAGAAGCCCAGTTGTCTATGAAGTATTTATTGCAGGATGGTGTCCCCTCTTTTCTTTGGAACAGGGCAAATAGGCAGGAAGCCCGCTTGCTGGAGCACTCGGCTGTTTTTATTCTTGGTTTTCCCTTTGCCTTCCTTCTGCAAGTATATTAGATGACTGTTTGAGAGCGAAAACTATGAAGTTTTGCTTTTTCTGAATAACCAGAAAAGCTCTGGTCACTGCTTCTAGTGCACTTAAGAGCCTAAGTTTAAGGCCTTTTGGAATTTTAGGAGAGCCTATTAATTTCAGGATACCTTAAGCAGCAAGATTTGAGCCACCTCTTTCAAGTGCCCTTGTTATTCAATCTATTTAGAATCAAGCGTAAGAATCACCACCAGCAAATCATTTTCATGATCTATATGGTAACTTTCTTCTATTTAATTTCTCAGTATTGCTTTATGAGACGTAGATTGGTAGAAGTATTTGTGTTGTGAACGGAACAAAAGGAGAATCTAGGATAGTAGCATTTTGGCAATCTCTTCTGAAGAGCGAAAAATAGACCTTTCAACTTTGCCTTTAGATTTGAAGTTAGGTTCATGGAAACAAAAAGCTAAATGAAAAACAACTAACCAATCAGTGGTAAAGAATTGGTACAGCATTTGAAGGCTCAAGAGGCAATTTTCTATGATGGGTTAATCTGAAGTATCGAAGTTTCCTTCATGTCCTGTGCTCCCAGAATTCCAAATTAGCTAAGGAAATATAACTGTGGTCTTCTGACTTTATGATCAAATGATGCTAACGTGGGTTCTTTAGCTTTTAAGATGACTCGCTATGTTTTAGAAAGGTGGTAGTAGCCAGTCTTCATTCTTGAAATGTTGGCTGTAATGCCAAACTGAAGTTACCTGCCATTTTCCTTTATTGCCAAGGTTCTTCAAGTTATTTTTATGTTACTCTGGAATCAAGTATTTTAAATTGCCTTCTTAAAAAAAAAAATTGTCTCCCACAATAATTGTTTGAAAGTCATTGTTGTCTAAAGTTCCTGGACCTAGAGTTCCCTGAGAACTATGTGTTCGTTTACTCAGAAATACACCCTCGAAGTAGGTGTGAGTTCCAAAGCAGTAAAAGACAACTTGAAACTACATAAAAGTTAAGACTCAGGTGTGGAATCTTTGGATAGCAACAGTGATTTTTTTTTTTTAATGGTGTCTAGAAGAAAACGGATTAAATTCTACTTAAAAAAAAAAAACACTACTATCTTTAAATTGATGACCTTCCCATAGGTTCAAAATGGAACAAAAAGAGCCAAAACCTGTTATTTCTATTAACATTGTTTTTAAATCAGACTTTTCAAATGTTAGAAACAATGATATGAAGTGCCCTGATCCGCTCAGACCTAAGGAAGAACATTTTAAAGTGGCATTATACGGGAAATGATTATGTTTCAATTTTGTGCTAGTTAAAAAGTGCTAAATATACTACATGAAATTATTGTTTACAGATTAGTGACGGGGCTGATAGTAGGATCCATTTGGACTGTGATTTCCAGATGCCCTCAAACATACAGTACTTCCAAACTCAAGTCTAGCCATAAGCTATTTTGCTAACATGTCAGAGTAATCTGTATTTTTGTATGTGATTTCTACTTTTATAGACCTGTTTTAAAATAAAACACATTTTTATAAAAAATGAGTACTTCCGCTAAGTTGTATTCCTTTGTTCTTTTTTTCTTAAGTACTGTGGTTAAAATTAGAAAGCACTTGGTATGGTGTGCCTTTGGTATGGTGTGCCCTTGGTCCCAGCCCTCTAGTTAAAGACCTACAAAACTAGCCCTAAAATGGTCTTCTTTGTTCCATCCACTTCATATGGATTTAATTTGACACAAAAAGTCAAATTAAAATGATAGTGTGTAATGCTTTCTGAGAAGGTGCTAAGTACAGACTTATTCTTATCTTTAAAGTGCTTCTAAATTAGTAATATTTATAAAACATTTGAAATTAGGGTGATTAATGTGACACTCAAGTACTAATAAAAGGCAGCTAGTAGCACTTTTTAAATATAGACTGGACCAACTTACACTGTATATTTTACTCTCGTTAGTAAGCTATTTGACTAGATCACTCTGGACCTAAAAGGTCTTGGGAATTTAATTCCCTTTGAACCATCCATTCCAATGGTAGAATAGTGATTCTTGCTGAACATGACCCTTTTTTTTTTTGCTGCTTTTTGTTATGCTCTTTATCACTATTACGCTTCCTTCTTTAATTATGAAAAATGTCAAATACGTGCAAAAATTAAAGACTTTCATGAACCTCATCATTCACTTTTGTCATTAACTTATGACCCTATCTCATTTTATCCGTCATCGCAACCCCCCCACTCACACCCCCACCCACACAAATTACTTTGAAGCAGAATTTATAAATATTTTAGTATATACATCTGAAAGAGATTCTCCTGAATTAATTCTGAAACCTAAATATCAAGATGCTGTTGGAAATTCCCTAGTTGGTCTCCAGTGCTTTCCTTACACGGCTTTGTTTGATGAGGCTCCGGACGTCCGGCGTGATCCACACCTGCATTTGATCGGCACTCTCATAAGTGTCTTAATCTTTGAGTTCTGCACCCTCCCCCCGGCTTTTTGCCTTACAGTTTATTTATTGAAAAAAACTAGGTTGTCCTGTGTTCTACATTCTGACTTTTGTTGATGTGATCGCTGGAGTGACACGTAACAGGTTAATCTGTCCCCCACTTCCAGATTCAGCAGCAAAAAGCCCTAGACTGAGGGCGATTTTTGGCACCCAGGAGACATTTGGTAATATCTGAAAACATTTTTGGTTGTCACAAGCAGAGAGGTGCTTTTGGCATCTAGCAGGTAGAGGCTATGGATGCCACTAACTAACCATCTTACAATATATAGGACAGCTCCCCACCATGAAGTATTATCTAGTTCAAAACGTCAGCAGTGCTGGGGTTATGAAACCCTGATCCCAAGGCTGATCTTACAAGTTCTGTTCTTAGCGAATCGATTCTTGCTAGGTGGTATATCATGTTCTTCCGTCAGGAGGCACATAACATCTGGCTGTCATTCTTTGTATGTTTCTAACACCTGTCTGTGGCCCTTGATTCCTCCCTCTCCTACACCCACAAGTTCCGGAGATCTGAATTTCTGGATAAAGTAATTTGTATCCCTTTTGTTCTGGTGCACTTGATTTCAGTCCAACGTTTACTAAAGATCTACAATGTGGAAGATACTGTGTTTGAGCGGCAGCACCTGGGACAGTGCAGAGCATCTGAGGAAAGGCACGAAGTAACCCAGAGACTAGGAAAACTAGAAAGAAACCCCTTTCCACTGGATACCCTAACCCTGCCTGGAACAAGCAAAAAGGTAGCCTCCTCTTTTGTTAACACTCCTCTCTCTTTCCCAAACTAGCCGAGTATCCAAGGAAGTCAAAAAAAGACTCCTCATCATGAGGCCAACCAACTCTTTGTGATACGGGCTGAAGCTCTAGATGGGCGATATTTTACTCTGACACTGCATTGAAAGCGGATAATCTACAATAACCCATTTAAAATCCTCACAGAACTGTTTAAAAGATCAATACAATGATTTTCGGAGGAATCATTCCATGAAGAGAAAAAATGTTGTGAAGAGAAGATCTGAGGCAGGAGGAAATAGCTATATAATAAAGTGTAATTACCAAAGATATTTTAAATAGATTTTCTGGTGAAAGCCAAGAAGAACCAGCCTAGTGTGACAGCATCATTTAAGCCCTCTTTGTCCATTCAAATAAAGTAAGTGTGGGGAAAGAAACAGCATTTGTAGTTGGGGGAAATGTCTATTTAGAAGAGTTTGTAAAAACCTGGTTCTCAAATACTGTCCGACTTATTTCAAATAGCCGTCTATCATATCCCCCCCCACACACACACACACCATAAGGAAAGAATGTTAAATTTCAGTATGTTACAACTATTGTTTATTATTGTAATTAGCAGTTTCTTCCCTAGCTATGTCAGTCTTTATTCACTGTGCAGAGGCACAGATGAGAACTCACTGTCTCCACTCCTGAGGAACTCACAGTCGACTGGTATCAAAAGCTGTATCTTACTCAGATCTCTTCAGCAGTTTTTTCAGGATCTCAAATTTTGACTTTATTTTTTTAGCTATTGATATTTGACTTTTAAAAAGGGAGAAATGAGGGCGCCTGGGTGGCGCAGTCGGTTAAGCGTCCAACTCTTGGTTTCGGCTCAGGTCATGAGCTCACGGAAGTGAGATCAAGCACTGCATTGGGCTCTGTGCTCAGTGTGGAGTCTGCTTGTGACTCCCTCTCCCTCCACCCTTCCCCACCGTTCTCTCTCTGTCTCTCATAAATAAATAAATCTTTTTTAAAAAAGAAATGAATGAAATTAGTTCTAACCCATGCTTTTACTATCCTATAAAATAATCAAATTAAAATATTCTTTTCTAATTTTCTCTTTAGTTCCTCCTTATTTAGTCAGTAATTTTCTTGAAAGTGTATCTTAAAACCCATGACACTTAAGAAAATACTCTTCTATTTTCCTTGATGTACAAAATTTAATAATTCTTCTTGTTGACTTATGCCCTAATCCCCTGATGCTTATTTTTAATGTTAAAGAATACACTGCATTTGAAATAAATAATTCCTCCTTGTAGCTCAGCAATTCATCAGTATATTTACTCTTATCTCTTCCCTCTCATATATATAATTCTTTTCTTTATATCATTTATGTCACGTTATCCCTGGATTTTTTTGCACAGTTGTCTTGGTAGATACTGTCCCTAAGTATAATGATGCACAGATTATGGTACATTGGCACAGTGGAGTGAATTTTTTAGTGATTTAAATCCTGAATTACCTCTTTTTGTTTTTAAGTCCTTTTTTAAATTGAAGTACAGTTGACATAAGTTTCAGATGTATAGTATAGCAGGCTGATTCAACAATTATACATTACAAGTGATCGCCATTGTAAGTCTAGTCACCATGAGTCACCATAGAACATTATTACAATATCATTGAATAGTCAATAATATCCCTATGCTGTACTTTTCATCTCTGTGACTTAATTTATAACAAAGTTCATACCTCTTAATCCCCTTCACCTATTTCACCCAACCCCCATCCCTCCTCCCCTGTAGCAACCTACCTGCCAGTTTGTTCTCTGTATTTGTGAGTCTGTTTCTGTTTTGTTTGTTCATTTTCTTTTTCATATTACACATTTAAGTGAAATCATATGGTACTTGTCATTCTCTGACTTCTTTTACTTGGCATAATATCCTTTAGGTCTGTCCATGTCACAAACGGCAATATTTCATTTTTATAGGTAAAATTTCATTGTATACCACATCTTTGCCCATTCATCTATTGATGGACACTTAGGTTGCTTCCATATTTTGGCTATTGTAAATAATGCTGCAGTGAACATAAGGTTGCATATATCTTTTTGAATTAGTGTTTTTGTTTTCTTCAATAAATATTCAGAAGTGGAATCGCTGCATCATATGGTAGTTTTATTTTTAATGAGCCTTCACATTCTTTTCCATAGTGGCTGCATCAATATACATTCCCACCAACGGTGTACAAGGGTTCCCTTTTCTCCACATCCTTGCCAACACTTGTCCTTTTGAAAATAACCACTCTTACAGGTGTGAGGTGATAAATCATTGTGATTTTAATTTGCAGTTCCCTGATGATGAGTGATGTTGAGCATCTTTTCATGAGTCTTTTGACCATCTGTATGTCATCTTTGGAAAAATGTCTGTTTGGGTCCTCTGCCCATTTTAATCATATTATTTTTGGTATTGAGTTGTGTGAGTTCTTTATATATTTTGGATTTTAGCCCCTTATTGGATATGTCATTTGCAAATTATCTTTGGCCATTTACTACTTTTTTTTTGATGGTTTCCTTTGTTATACAAAAGCTTTTTATTTTGATGTAGTTCCATTTGTTTATTTTTGCTTTTGTTGCAGTTGCCTGAGGAAACACATCCAAATACTGCTAAAGCCGATGACAAAAGAGTTTACTGCCTATATTTTCTTTTAGGAGTTTTATGGTTTCAGGCCTTTCTTACATTTTAGTCTTCAATCCGTTTTCAAGTTTATTTTTGTCTCAGGTGCAAGAAAGTGCTGTAGTTTTATTCTTCTGCATGTGGCTGTCCAGCTTTTCCTGCACCATTTATTGAAGAGGCTGTCTTTTCCCCATTGCATATTCCTGCCTCCTTTGTCATGGATTACAGTTGATCCTTGAACAAAATGGCTTTGAACTTTATGGGACCTCTTATATGCATATTTTTTAAATAAATATATTGGAAAATTTTTTGGAGACGTGACAATTTGAAAAAATTCTCAGACGAACCATGTAGCCTAGAAATACCGAACAAAATTTTAAAAAGGTAAATATGAGTGCATAAAAATGTGTAGACACGTCTATTTCATCAGTTACTACCATAAAATAAACACAAACCTATTATAAAATGTTAAAATTTATCAAAGCTTACATAAGCACACACAGACTGTACATGGTGCCATTTGCAGTTGAGAGAAAAGTAAACAATGTAAAGATACAGTATTAAACTGTAATTGTATGAAATTAACTGTAGTACATACTGTGCTATTGTGGTAAACTTACAGCCACCTGCTGCTACTGCAGTGAGCTCAAGGA